GTGTGTGTGTGTGTGTGTGTGTGTGTGTGTGTGTGTGTGTGTGTGTGTGTGTGTCCCTTCTTATTTGTCTCTACTCATGCTGCGTGAACCAACAGAGGATCCATAGATGTTTTTGTTTTATTTTAATTAGGCTATTTCTGCCAAAGTCGTCCCGAGGTTAAACACACTTTTCTGTAAGTGTGAGTGAACATAATAAAGAGTGTTTGCAAAAAATAAAACACACATTTTTGTGTCTTTCATTTTTAAATCGTCTTGTTCTGCTGATAAACTGACTGCAAAACAATATTCTGAGCCTTTTTTTATTTTCTTGGAGGAGTTTTGGTTGTTTTATGACCCTCCTCCAACAACAACTCCTCCTTTGGGGGTTGTTGTCTTTGTTGTCTTAATTTGTCTTGCTTGTTGACTTTTTTGTGGCTCATGGTCTAAATGTTCTTCAGACTCTGAGAACCCTCCTGCATACAGATAGGGTGGGGTGTGTGTGTGGGGTGGGGACCACTATCTCTGGGTCCATAAAAGATTCAGGGCTCTGCATCAGTTTACACTGTTTATATTCCTCAGTGATAACACTACATGACCTGCAGTGTTGTGTGAAAAATGCTTTAACGTTCACTGACTGGGGCAAAATCAGATATAACAAGAAGACAATTGATTTGTGTTTATAGATTATCAAATCATCTCATGAATGAATGATACTTTATTGATCCCACAGGGAAATTACAGCTCAGAGTTTTCATTGATAGTATTTTTGGTCAAGATAAGCTCATTTTCTGCATGAAAAAAAAAACTAAATTTTAAATAAGCTGAGTTTTATGATAGTATCCGAATCAAAATAAAAATCTAACTTGAGCACTGACTCTGGTTTGTTTGCTGCCTGCCTTTCATTTCATATGCTGCCCCTGATGCTCCTGAGTGTCGCTGTGAAGCTTTTAATCCCCATCTGTACAACCCAGAACTGTGCAGTGTTGTCAAAGTGTGAGTTATGTTTTCACAGCTTCAGTGCATAAACAAACCATCCAGCAGGTCCCGGATTTTTTCCATGTAGATCTCAAAGTAGGAAACCTGCAAAAATTTTAAAAAAAGAGCTAAAAACACAACAGATGATATATTTATTTTTTGTTTTTCAGGAACTGAGAGGAATAAAAAAGATGATTCATGCTCAAAAACAAGACGCTGCTCAGTCCTGTAATGATCTTTTCTCTTGGTATGAATATAATAATAAAAGAATAGGATGAGTTACGATTTATTGATGCTTCTTAAAGAATTCCTGCACAATAGTGTGAAAAAACACACAACCGCACACCAACCTTTATATGAAACTCTAAGTTTTCATCCATGGCGAATATATGTTCAAAAATGTCCTGGGCGATCCGAGGAATGATTCCCATCGCCTGGGGATCGTGAAGGTTCCCCTGCAGAAAGAACGAGCTTAAATAAGTATAAAACGTGAATGAACAATAGGATAAATCTCGAGCCTGCGGCAAATGAGGCACAAGAGGATAAAAGTAGGAACAGAGAACAAGGTGGATTCTGAACTGAAAAAAGACCAGAGTTAGAAAGGAAGTGAGTTCCCACACACGGCTGTTAGTGAAAGATAAAAAAAAAAACGATCACTATGATGGAAGTGGATTTACATCCAGTGTGGGCGTAGAAGAATTTTAGAAAAATGAATGATGGGAAAAAAAACCTTTGTAACTGTGTGCAAGTGTGTACCACAACAGGAGGTCTTCCTTTTGAATTATTTAGCAGTACTATACCTCCATGGTGTGTGTTTTTCCTGAAGAAGTCTGCCCATAGGCAAAGATAGTCCCATTGTACCCCCCGAGCACATCTAATATGAGAAGAAAGAGGAAAACATGTTAGATGGGGAATAAATGTACCTGATAAAGAAAAATTGGCAACTGAAGTGTCTGGATTACAGACTTCAGCTGTGTAAACAAGACAAGTCACAACCAGAGAGAGAGACAAATATTTTTGACTTTTGATCCAAATTGAGCCTCGTAAAGATTGTGCACTGAGGAGCGTGTGTTTTAAGCTTGAGTAAGTGCTGGAATACCTTTAGCGACTGCACACAATAAACAACAATTACCTGAAGCTTTTAGCAGCACCAGGAGCCACTCACCATGGCTACAAGCAGCTACAGATAGATTATTCTCTCCATTCGTTTAAAGCCACAGGTAGAGGAAAAAAACAACAACAACAACGTATCACCGGCTGCAGTAAAGAATCACATTGTCCAAAGTCATAATGCTGACACGGACCCATAAAACCTGGCCGTAAAAGTCAAACATGGGTAAAGAAAAACGCTTCGTGCTGAGAGGCCCAGCCGCCACAGGTGAGCTGACCAACAACAAATCAGAAAAGCTTTCAGCTGGAACCGAGCAGAAGCCCGTTTCCCTCCCCGTCTTCGCCTGCCAGCGCTGCCGGCCGAGGATCACAGCTCTCTGCTCAGCAGCTTGTCTTGTTTCTGCTTTCACACCGGTCAGACTGAGACCAAAACAATAAGATGGGGAGGGAGGGGTACAAAGAATCAAAGGATAAAGCGTGTGTCTTCTCAGGATACAGAGACAGCAGAAGATTAGACGGCTACAACAAAATATAGAAGAGAGGAAAGCATAGAAGACAATGAAGCACCAAAAAAAAAAAAAAAAACAGACAGACAATCAGAAAGACCATAAACAAGAAACATCGTCTTCTAAAACCTTTTTTTTTCTGATGTTGCTCTCTCTGCATTTCTCCTCCTGACAACTCTCAAATCTCTCTCTTCACTCTGTGCCTGCTTTGAACTTCTCAATCCTGGTGCTTTAGCCAGTTGTGCCCTTTTTTTTTATTTAATCTTTCCTCAGCCTACGTGGCAATCTCTCATTAGGTAACCAATCTCGCTCTCCAGATCAATCTTTTTCATGCTCCATCTGGAAATAGTTCAACGAAGTTCAAGGCTTTGAAGAAAAGAAAAAACAAGATCCTGACAAGAAGAAAACAAGATGTACAGAGAAAGAAAAGTAAAGAAAAATGTAGCTTTTCAGCATCAGATGCTGGTTTAATTTGATCTGTCATCGGGCATCGAGTGAAGATTCTGTAGTGGATTTGTGAGGATTAATTTCCTTGTTGAACAAATAAAATGCTTTCATTGACCACAATAAAGCTTTAAGTGTTTTTTAGTAGGTTACTATTAAGTTGCACAATTATTAAGCAGCTAATTTAAAAAAATGATTTTTCACAGCTGCTGTAGTTTGTTCACACTCAGTTTTAACAGTCACATAAAATGATGTTAAGGCAAAAGTTTGATTAGTTTATTCGTATTTCCAGTAACTAATTCTATCAGCTTCTTCGACCTGATGAAAACAACCCTTCTCTGCACGGTGCTGAAACTAAATGCTACTCAATGAGGTGTATTATCTTGAAAAATCACAAAAAAGATTCAAGCTAAAAGTAGCTAAAACATAGCTGAAAGCTAAAATATGTAAAACTGTAGCTAAAAGTCCTGAAGCATCTCAGTAATCCAGCAAAAACTGAAATAAAACATTGAATTGGTCTGTTAACAAAGAAAATTTTGTCCAGAGGACCTACTCAACTATTTTTAGATGTAACTAAAAGATAAAATAAGACAGTAGCTAAAAACTAATAGGAGCTTAAGGTGTCATGTTTGGCTTAAAGTACAGACTAAATGAAAGACAAACTTAAGCACTTCAACAAGGCTTTAATAATAAAAGTAATTATCTAGCGTGGCCACAAAAGTACTTAAACAAAAAAACCCGAAACAGGCTTGGTTACAAGGAGCAGGAAAACATCAGTAGCTGTGGATACAACGGAGGACAGAGAACAAATTATAAAGGAGAACTAACGAGGAGCCAAAAAGAAACATGAGAAACAGGTGAGTGTGGGCGGGGCTGAAGCAGAGACAGGCAGGAGGGAATCACAGAAATCAGAAAAAAAAACATCAAACAGAATCAAAATCCAGAATAAATACTAAACAGAAACGCAGATCTTGACATAAAGACACAAAGACAAGATGCTGATGTAGATTTCAGAGAACGTTTTTGGAGGAAATGAAGAGAACTCATCTTATTTCGATTTGAAATTACATTTTTAAATCAATTAATAACGTTCAAAAAGTGTAACAGTTACAAATTCTAAAAGTCATAGCACGCTGTTCTTTATTGAGCCAAATGGTTTTTTTTTATAAAGGAATAGCTAAATTGTGTATGCAGAAATAGTTTGATTAAAAAAAACACACAAGGAAGCAACTATAAACAGGAAATTAATGGTGTGAATGCTGACTCAGCATTCACACCATTAAGTGACTCTGTGCTGTTTGTTTCAGCTTTCACTGTACATCTAAAACATGGCAGACCTGAACAACAGTGGACACATTTTATTTCATAAAAATCCTGCATCTGTGAAGCACTCATCAGTTTCACCTGAACCAGGTATCAGGTTGCATCTACCCCCTGAACAGCTTGTTCTCGTGCATTTGTCACTTTAAGCCACACCCACTCCTCATTACAAAAAAATGTCACACCGCCTGAAAATAATTAGATTCAATAACGGCTCAAGGTTATGTAGTTTAGGGCAGTGAAAGGAAAGATCAGGTCAGGAGGCTTATTTGTTTCCATTTTCTGCATTCATTGTGCTTCTGAAGCGTGCGTCATTTGAATCTACTCATCTTGATCCCTTTTACACTCGTACGTGTAGGAGGTGCGACGACATCACTGTCCTGAAAATAGGTTTTCTGCTGCCTGCGAGGAGCTGCTCCTGTATGCACCAGCGACTAAGGTGTGAACTGACAAAGTCAATACAGAGATCAGGACTGCGGAGGATACGATGCTGCTGTTGTCCCCCGCCCCGCTCGGTGTCTGTGTCACTCACGCACCTTGGAGACAAAAGACAACGCAACGCCGACGTGACTCACCTTTGACGATCTGTTTGGCGCAGGTGTCGTAGACTTGCTCCTGTGTGGTGTTAGTTGGGAAGACCTGGTCAAACACGTACGGCTTCCCCTGTGAATGCCAAAACAAACAGTGTCATCGAAGACAAACACACTTCGCGAGGTGTTTTAGATTACTGCCAGCACCTCAGCATCTCCTGTAGCCTGCTCTAAAATCCATCACTGAAACTTTGAAAAGACAGCTTTGCACATCATTTTTATTACCAAAGTAAAAATGTAAACCAACAGTAGGACTATGTAGAAGGAAAACGTCTATATTTGCTTTAGAAACTTATGTTATAGATTCAAGTGTGCGTTAGGTCTGAACAGCAGGGCAAAAAACCCACAATAAGAGGTTCATCTGTCTTCTTTTCAAAGATGCAGCATGCATCCTTGAGTGTTTTTTTATGGCGCTGAGAAGTAGTGCATGTTTTGATTAAAGTGGTGCTACACTGAGCTTTAGGTAGAAGATGGTCTGACCCCAAGGAAGACGGACAGATTCCCTCTGAGATGAAGCCATTAGAGGCAGCATTCAAGGGCTTCGAGAGCGAACTGAAGCATCGGAGAGAAGAAATGGATTGGGGGGGGGG